CTCAAACTCAGCAGTGACATGAAAACGTAGGATGGCAAAACTAAAATCTCTATAAATGCCTTAAGTTTAAATAGATGCTTGTAAATATCTGAGCTCTGAATACCTCATTGTTTTTTTAAGTTTTCGTAACCGTGGGAGCGCAGTGTGAACTGATTCGGTAGAACGATCCATATACAAAGCTGGTGGAGTTCCAGCCCTGATCCTGTAACAGCACTCTTGGCTGAGTCTGCTGATAATTTGGGGTCTGGAAGTTGTTATGCGGCACTCGGAGCTGATCTTTACTGCTCCTCAGCATCTGAACAGCTGCTTATTACTCAAGAGGGAATGTAGTGACTCAGCCAGCTGATGTAGTGCTAATGCAGCAGAGCGTCTGAGGCCTGACTGGGTGTTGATGGAGTTTGTGTGCAAGTTTTCAAGTGGTGGTTGAGGACAAGCTTGCCTGCATGAATATCAGAGTGTTTTGACTTGATTGGATATTTCTGTCTGTGTTCATAGGCTTCAAATAATCATGAATCCCAGATGGATTCCATCTGTTGAAATCAGGGGTTCTCTTTGCACCAGGCAAAGGGGGGCAGTCTGTCATAGTCGTGTATATTTGGGCCTTTGTGCAGCAACGGAAAATCACAGGTTACACATCATTTGAACGCTTTGAAATGAAATAAAAAGGCTTATCAGGATTAAAGGAAGACTGGTTTGATCAAAAATGTGTGACTAACTATAGACATATTTATTCTCTAGATATACTACACTCTTAAAAAGGGTTCTTCAAGGGTTCTTTAGTAATGACAATGGTTCAGTTGCAATAAAAAGGTTCTTCTCAATCAGATTGATTGAGAATTGTTGTATATGGTTCTGTATGGCCCCAAAAAGGGTTCTTCTATTGTTACGATGTCAAGCTTGTAGCAATAGAAGACCCTATTTTGGTGCTATATAGAACCGTTTTTTTTCAAAAAGGTGCTATATAGAACCATATACAACACATTTCATTAGTCCGAAGAACTATTTCACCATGCAAAGACCTGTTTAAGCATGTGAATGGTTCTTTTAGCGTTTATGGTTCTATGTAGAGCCATTGACCTTAGGAAAGAATCTTTTAAAGAGTGTAGCAGAGTAGGAGGAGCTTTGCTGCTAACAGTGAGCTGCAGAAAGCACTGAACTGCTATAGATTAATTACCTGTAATAAGCTCCACAACAGTCACATGACTTCTAAAGGCTCACAGACACTGATCAGGCATAACATTATGACCACCTCCTTGTTTCTACGCTCATTGTCCATTTTATCAGCTCCACTTACTATACAGGTGCACTTTGTAGTTCTACAGTTACAGACTGTAGTCCATCTGTTTCTCTGCATACTTTGTTAGCCCCCTTTTACCCTGTTCTTCAGTGGTCAGGACCCCCATGGACCCTCACAGAGCAGGTACTATTTGGGTGGTGGATCATTCTCAGCACTGCAGTAACACTGACGTGGTGGTGGTGTGTTAGTGTATGTTGCGCTGGTACGAGTGGATCAGACACAGCAGTGCTGGAGTTCTTAATAGTGCTGCTGGATATTCACCCACCTTTTTTTAGTTTGTAGCAACGAAACAAATCACAGATATGACTCAAAACATTTTCTGTTTAATAGCTGATTCTGGCTTGGTGAAATATACATCAAACAAATTAAATACCATTATTTTAATTGATGGTATATTTTTTCCAGATAAAGTAGAGGAGGAAATTGTGTAATCACTCAATGCTAAGGAAAAAAATATGGAATCATCTTATAATTTACATTTCTTAAACAGATACTGGCACAAGTCTGAAAATGCAAAACAGTCTGCAGTTCAAAGGAAGCGCTTGCAGACCTTAACGAGCTGTTTGTCTTGGCTAATTGAAAGAAAACCTGGCTCCAGTGAGAGAGTTGTCAGTTGAAACAATGGAAAGGATTGTAAACCTCCATCGACAGAGTGTGGCTGGTTGTTCTCAGTCAGCTGTGTCTACATTTGGTACAAGTTTAAACAAAATGGGAAGGATATAAAAAGAAGGACGATACCAAAGTGTCAGGAAAACTCAAAGCAGGATGCCTTGAAAATAGAAAATGCACAACCAAACAGATGAAAAACAAATGGGCGGAAACAGGACTCAGTGTTTGGGACAGATTCTTAAGAAATCGGCTGAATGAAATGGGATCTACATACAGAAAAGCCGAACGAGAACCAGCACTGACATCTAAACCAGGGGTCGGCAACATGCGGCTCTTTTACTGCCCTGTTGTTTCTCCACAGCAGAATTAGATTTGTATGCGGCTTTAGCTGAGCTAAAGCTTAAAGCAGAGCAAATTAAGTCTGTGTTTTTATTTATGTTATATTTTTTAGCCTATACTAGTACATCAGCACGTACTGAGACATATTTACAGACAAGATGGTAAAACGTTACTTCAGTAAAATGAAGTGTTGTGGCTGCCAAGGTGATTTGATTTTGTTGGCTCTTCTTAACATTTGGGTCATGACCCCCTGGCCTAAACAGAAGAAAACAAGGTTACAGTGGGCTAAAGAGAAGCAATCGTGGAGTGCAGTGATGTTCAGTGACGAATCACAAATCTGCATTGGTCAAGCAGATGATGCCGGAACTTTTCTCCAGTGAAACGTATAAGGAAGACTGCCTTATTATGATATGGGGTTGCATGTCAGGTAAAGGACCAGAGTCAATACGTTTTTCTTATTCCACCAATAGAAAATATGTTTGATGATGGTAACCTTTTAGAATGATGATGCATCTTGGCACAGATCAAAGCGTGTTGAAGCTGTTCTTCAGCAAAGGCAAATCAGCTCAATGACAGGGTCATTGTTCTCAATCTAACTGAAAATTAATGGTGGAAATTGAAAAAATTGGTCCATGAAAAATCTTCATCCTGCAAAGCTCATCTGTCAACCGCTATTCGAGAACATTGGAACCAGCTTGATGTAGAAAACTGTTTTTCATTAGTGAAGTCCATGCCTCAAAGAATTCAGGCTGCCATAAAAGCCCAAGGAGGAGCAAATACATGGTTGAAGATTCCTTCAAGATTTCCTTCAACATTGAGTGATTCCATTATTTCGTATACTTTATCTAGAGAAATATATGCCATTGATTAGAAAAATTTAATTTGTTTGAGGTATGTTTCACAAAGCCAGGATGTTCAGCCAATAGACAAAATAATTTTGTCATATCTTAGACTTGTTTTTTTGCTATAAAGTAAAAAAGTTGGATGATCGTCCTCTAAGTGTGGTGATTCCATCATTTTTCTACTGGCTCCATAAGCAGCGGAGTGCTTGGACCCCCGATGATTGCCGCTCATGTAATTTGTAGATGGTTCCTAAGCTCTCAAAGTGGTTACAGTCCACAGATGTTCTACATCTGTGTTTGTCAGATTAAAAACTCAATGGAAGCTGATTGTCTTGCTTGCTAACAAGGATAATTCACTGTCTTATCCAAAAGTTTGTGCGCCCTGGTCAAATTCCATGCTTTTGTTGTTGAAGTAAGTTAATACGTCCCATACAGAGACACACTTCTGCACACTTTAATGCACAATTACTGTTTACTTACTGAATTTAACATTTTCAGGGGAAAAAAACAAAAAGTGCTCTGTGCCAATTGTGACATGCCTGTTTGCGAAGCTTTTTCCTCCTTATCAGTAGAAAAATTCCAGCTTGGGAATTTTTCAACACATCGATGAGAGATATGTGTCACTGAACATGAAACACCAACATATTAGGCTATTATAAGCTTGTTTTATACTAAGAATACAGCAGAATGGTGGCAAATTAAGTGGAATGTTTCTGCAGTGCATTTTTATTTATTTATTTTTTAACACTTTTTAACAACTATTGAAGACGACGATTGAGTGCATTTTGTTTTTTGAGGCAAGGGACAAAAAATAGTTTATGCTGCTTTGTGCACTTGTTGCAAAACCTGTGTTAGAATTGTTTGCCGTTTGAAAAGATTGTATTTTTTGTTCTTTGTTTTATACCAAGTGCCCTCAGCGGCCCACTGTGTAGACCACCTGCTCCCCTTCAGTTTTGGCCCAGTGGTTGAGAAACTCTAAACAATGTTGACAAGTCGGCACCACGTTAATGAAAAGCTGGATGCAGTTTGAACAAGTTGAGAGATGTTTTGGGAATGTGTTTACCGAAAAGATTTGGGTGACTGTTGACTTCTAGTGTTTGCTAGTAATGTTAGCCTTGTACACTGCAAAAAATGCTACCATGTCAAGTAAAATGATCTCGAATATAGTCAATAAATCGAATATTTATCCTGTTGAGATTGTTTTGAGCTTAATTTTAGATTGTTTAGCTTATTTCTAGACATTTTTGCACTTGTTTTAAGTAATTTGATTAAGTAAAATTATCTCACTATGTTGGCAGATAATTTTGCTTGTTTTAAGAAATGTGCTTGAAACCAGCCAAATTATAGTGATTGAGATCATTTTACTTAATAAAATTATTTAAAATAAGTGAAAAATGTCTAGAAATAAGCTAAATAATCTTAAAATCAGTGCACAACCATCTCTGCATGGGAAATATTAGATACTTCGACTAGATTTAAGATCATTTCACTGGACAAGATGCCAATTTTTGAAGTGTAGCTCCAGTTTTAAACTAAAGAAGCAAAATTCGGACACCAAACATGTCCTGGCCGACTACATCTATGGTAAATGGATTGTGTAAATTAGATTTTTGCCAAAACATTACGTTAAAAATAAAGGTTCCTAAATGGTTCTTTGCATGAATTCATGGATGTAGGAAAAAAAAGCTTTAATTGGTATTCAACACCTTATTTGGAGGTTCTTTAAACTTTTAAAATGCATATATTTACATATATTTAAATGCATACATTTACAAAAATCACTCTGAAGACTCCAAAGAAGTCATTCTGTCATAGAAGATTCATGGTACATTTGTTTTTTTCCTAAACACTCTCTCTCTCTCTCTCTCTCTCTCTCTCTGTCTCTCTCTCTCTCTCTCTCTCTCTCTCTGTAGATGAAGAACAGTAAGAATGAGCAGGAGAGCCGCTCGCTGTTGCTGAAGAGTCTGCAGTATCTGGAGCGCTACATGTACCTGATCCTCTTCAACACCTACCTGCACCTGGAGAAGAAAGACTCCTGGCAGCGCTCCTTCAGCACCTGGATGCAGCAGGTGAGACAAACATGTGCCGCTGTCCCTTTCTCAGCCCTTTCTAATCAACACCTGAAGCCCAAAACAGCACTAATGCACACCTGAGCGCAGTAATCAGCACCTGAGCGCAGTAATGCTCACCTGAGAGCAACAACCACTGATAATCAGCACCAGTAACACCTGTGTAATAACTCGCGACTGTTTACAGTAATTATCACTAACGTGCTGATGGTTGAGCTCAGTAATGATGATCTGCAGGTGAGTCAGATCTACAATCATCCAAACAGCTGAAACAGAACACTAGTATTTACACTGCTGTTCAAAAGTTTGGAACCATGTGCAGCATTACTAATGTTTTACAGTATATACCAGGGGTCGGCAACACGAGGCTTCGGAGCCACACGCAGCTCTTTTACCGCCCTGTTGTGGCTCCACAGCTGAATTGGGTTTGTCTGTAAAAATAAAATAATCCTCCTTTACAGTAAAATAAAGTTCTGCTGATCGTTCAACACAGTTTAACAATAAATGGTCTTAAATTCTGGAGTTAATGTAGAACTGCTAATTCACCCTTTAACCCTGAAGATCAGCACAGACTGCTGGTCACCATAGCAACACAGACAACAGTCTCTCCTAGCTAGTAGCTAACGAAACGGCAAAGAGAGAGATTTAAGATGAACATCGATAATTTAGAGACGAATGGACTTATTAACGTTTATAAAATAAGAAATAATACACTTTTGTCTAATTATTTGTTAAAGCTATTATTTTAATTATCTATATATGGTGAATTCCAGACATTCATTTTATCAGAACTTCATCCTTGATGTTCTATGGTTCTGTTCATTGCCCAGCATTTCTTATTTGTCCGACTGATTATTTGAGAAAGGTAGTGTTGATTAGACAAGAGAATCAGTTTCTATATCAGCCAGTTTTATCATAAAGCAAATGCTTTGGCTTTATTTGTTTCATGTTCATCAAAGTAGCTACCTTGGGATGATGAACAGGTTCTAAATGATAATTTGACAGTTTTCTTTTCCAAACTGTCGATAAAAGCATGTGTCATATGTTGAATTACCGCAGACAATAATAGCACGTTTCCCTGAACAGGAACGCTGCAGACTGAACAGCTCTATAAGATTATGCTAATTACACAGCGGTTGGTCTTGAGGCTGATAAACGCGCTTTGTTGTTGAATAATTACTCGCTGATGTGTCTGAAATCCTCCTGCAGCTGAAGCCGCAGCGCGAGCAGATCTGCCAGCTCTGTTTTAGCGGCCTACTGTGTGTTTTTAGCGGAGATGAAACACAACATCACAGAGATGATCCCTGACAGAGTGAGAGTCTCTGCGGTGGTTAATATGATGTTCACAGCTGTAGGACTCGGAGGTGGCGCGCTGCAGCAGATCGAGACTCAGATGAAGTTTTTCAGCCTTGAAGTTCCGCTGCCGTTCACTCTCGCTGCTCCAGCTGCTGTAGGGAAAGATCATTTTAAAAGATAAGAAAGTAAAGATAATTTTTATAATCAAAACTTTATTGAACATTCAATCACTCAACATAGACAGCATAGGCAGTGGTTATAGTAAGTAATAATAAAGTAATATAAAGTATAATAAAGTATATAAAGTAATAATAAAGTAATAATTACACGACAGCAGACGAAAAACGAAGTACCAGAAAAGCAAATAAATAGATAAATAAGATGGATGATATGCTACCATGTTAGCATGTGACCCTGTTTACACCTGGTCACTCCATGTGTCTATTATCTGGATCGTATCCTGATTAGATTTTTGCCTCATGCGTTTACACTTGGTAGTCAAATGCGTCTCCGGTTAGTCGGACTGATATCCAAATGCTGTGGGGCGGAATATGCAAATCCACTCATTAAACAGCTACTAATTACTGTTTATCCAGTCAGCCTCTTTGTCTGCAGTTTGTTTTGCACAGTAGAGTCTGTCCGTGTTGCTGTTAAGCAGCACTGCTGTGTCTGATCCACTCAGACCAGCACAACACACACTAACACACCACCACCACGTCAGTGTTACTGCAGTGCTGAGAATGATCCACCACACAAATAGTACCTGCTCTGTGAGGGTCCATGGGGGTCCTGACCACTGAAGAACAGGGTAAAAGGGGGCTAACAAAATATCAGAGAAACAGATGGACTACAGTCTGTAACTGTAGAACTACAAAGTGCACCTATATATAAAATGGACAATGAGGGTCCATATATATATATATATATATATATATATATATATATAGGTGCACTTCGTAGTTCTACAACTACAGACTGTAGTCCATCTGTTTCTATATATATATACTGATACTGCTACTAGTTTTGATACGGAAAAATCTGAATATTTAGCATTTTTGTCTTGTTGTCTGTGCAGCCTTTACTGACTTAAGAAGCGTTACAGTACTTGCGTTACTCGTGTCTCTAAGAGAACAATTACAGACAATGCATTTAAATGATGTTTCCTCTATATAGATTAAGTCACTGTGTTCTTGTATGTAATTAGCATGTGCGTGTGGTATCTACCTGACTCTGATTGTGAATGTGAGGAAGCCCTGTAAAGTCGACCAACAATCTGATAGGAAAGTGGTGGATGAAGATCTCCATGCTCAAGAAGAGAAGCTCAGCTAAACTGACCAGCCTCCATCTCCATTTTCAACTCTGTACCTCTGGCTTCTCAGAGGCTGTTCTGCTGCTGACTGTGTCGTGTTGTGTTTACCGAGTCTCGGCCGCTGCAGTGTGTATGTGTGTAGAACCGTATCCGCAGAGTTATTTGGACTGTGGGGTTTACAGGCTGATGGTAGGTGACTGTACCCGTCACTCACCCTCTGAGCTCCGTACGGCGTCTATGTGCTGATTCGCTCATGACCGGTGACCCCAGGGCTGCTGTGGCCAGCTGTGCTCTGTGCTAAACCCTGGAATTTATGAGCATACCAAACTAATGACCATCACCCCCTGCATGGGTTATGAGTGTGTTTTTCCCTCAACGTTCACTCATTTTCCCACCACCATCGTACAGGAGGCTGAAGTGAACAATAGCTAGTTATACTGCTACAGTTATTAATACTGATACTGCTACTACTATTAATACTACTACTGTATACACTACTAAAACTAATAACTGCTATGAAAGGGGACTGTTCATAATTTCTGCATAATTCAGTGTGTGAGATGTAAACAGAGAGATTCAGAGCGGTTTGGTGTGAAATGGGTCAGATTTCTTTACAGTGGTGGTCATAGGAACCAGGGGTCGCCATGACTACAACACAAATATAGACATTTTATTTACTATCCAGAACCACCAGTGAACCAACACGAGTCTTCTGGGTTTAAAAACAGTGTCTCAGTCATCAGGCAGTGAATTCATAACCATTTCATGTAGGAACTTTCTGTGAGGGAGCTTTTAGAGGTGGACGTCTGGTTCCTATCACCACCACTGTGAACAATTCTGACTCAGTAAGTTTCTCTAGAACAGGGCGTTTCACACCAAACCGCTCTGAACGACTCCTTTTTAATATATTGATTATGCAGAATTTTTTAAATTGGATTTCTATTAATGCTACTACTGAGTGCAGTACTAAAACTGTCAGTGAGCGAGTGAACACAATGCTAAGGTCAGTAGTCCTTTCACAAATTTAAAAATAAAAAACGTTGGTGTTTGAGTCGTGGCTGGAATGGTTCACCATGTCTGACCTCAGGAGAACCATGAAAATGTATAAGTGCTGTAATGTTTATCTATTTGAAAAAAAGTAAGTATAAACTGAAGTTAAAGTTTACGGACAAAGGTTTCTACGGGTGTCTAAATAGATGCCTGTTTAAATTGAAATTGGTCTGAAAAGTCAGGTGGCTCAACTAGTCAGTCAAATTGTACAACCAGACTGGCACAGTTGAATTAGCTGAATTAGGCTCGAACAATATTAGTATAGTTTATAATATAGTTTATATAGTTTCAAAAACAATTTTAGATGCTTAAATAAATAACAGTGGCTTATTATTCTGGGATGTCTGTTCACTTTTTATAAGAACTGTTTTTAACAACCAAAGTAAATCGGAAGTATTTTTATGGTGCTTCTTGTTGTGAACTATTTAGTTTGTTTGTAATAATAACAAAACTGAACAGTATGTAGATTATATAAATACAATAGTTTATATAAACTGATATTGATTTCGAACATCACCCCCGTGACCCAAAAACACTGCTAAATGTCCAACTTTTTGTTTTAATTTTCCGTTCCACCTTAAACGGAGCAGCATGAATGTAACTGCTGCACCATTTAAGGTGGAAATTCCTCTAAGACTCCAGCTTCGGCTTTGAGTCATTTGTCTCATAAGTACGTCTCTTGACAGCGTCAACTGACCATTAGCCATACTAGGCTAATGCTAACCCCAAAATACCAGCTGTTCCTTTATATCCACTGCCTGGAAAACAAAGTGTTCCACATCAGGACTAGACAGCGGGAGGTGATCGAAGGTCTGCTGTGTTTTCCTTTTCATTTGAAACGTGACTGAAACATCCCTGAATCAGACCCTCAGCTAACCAGGATAACATTAGCCTGGTCTGCACTGTCTGCATGTCGTGTTATCAGTATAACTCATTTTAACTGGGTCACTGGGTGGACTGATATGTTGCCCCTTACAAGGACACAGTTTACATTAGAAGGAACTTTGGTGAAATATATCGGGCATTTAATGGACATTGGGAGGTCATTCATAGGGCACACTTAGTACATACTGTGGCCCGCAAGAGCAAGACTGACCCACTTGGAAAGAAAACACGGACCGAGGTTCTCAGAGGCCTGAAAAATGTCAAGTATGTTTGAATAAGCACATTCATTCCTGATCTGTATTCATTAATGTTGCCCACTTGAGTCCAGACAGCGATATTACAGTGTTACAGCTGTGTGTGTGTGTGTGTGTGTGTGTGTGTGTGTGTGTGTGTGTGTGTGTGTGTGTGTGCGGATTTAAGGCGGTGTGTGATTTATTGTAGATTTGTCAGTGTTACTCTT